CATTTAAGAAAGTATTTTATACATGGTAAATCGCATCAATTTTTTTTAGAAAATGAAAGAGTGGGTTGTGGTCCACTTTCTAGAGGAAGAGACGGTAGAGGCTGTACCAGCCAACTGGTACAATATCGACACAAAACAATGTAAATGACCGCCGAAATCTCCAAAGAAAATAATAGCAGATATAATTAGGAAAAAAGAGGAACCCAATGATGAATGAGAGACCTTTTATGCTAAGCTCTTGGGGAGATATGAAAAAAATTATTCTCTCAAAAAAAAAAAAAAGTTGTCTTTTTATAGTAGATTTTTATGAGGTAGCCAAAAAAAATCTTTTAAAGCTCAACACTATTCCGATCTCTCATCAGCAACAGAGTCGTCGCCCATATTAAAAACAAGAAGACGAAAAAAGCAAAAAATATAGCCCCAATAAGGATTCAGCGTCTGATGGAGGATCATCGGAGGATTCATCAGAGGTTCATGCTAAGACTGCTGCAAAAAGATGAAGTGCAGGTATAAATTTTATAGATGTAGTAGGTTGTAGGTTTGACTTTTATTTGTTTGCCTTGTACGTTAATTATTGTGATATTATTAAGAATTTTTTTAAATGTGAACTTTAATACCTTTCACTAGTAGCAATAGGAATGTTCACAAAATAAAAAAAATCCGTTTAACCATCATCAAATTATTAAGCATCGTTTCATAAGTAAATCTACTTTTTTTACGAAAATCAGAAAATTCTTTCTATGAGAAAAACGGAGACGGAATATTGATATTCGTTTAAACGCAGGAAACGCTGTCTGACGTCACGATGCGTAATGAGTTAGCACGCGCAAGTACAGTGGCGTTACTAGCTACTTGGATCAGCCTCTTGTGACGTTGCTTTTGCGATTTTTGTTGGCAATAAAGAATATTGATATTAATATTATTGTTATAATTATTATTATGGTTCGGTTTTAACTTAAAGAGAGAGTCTGTTTAACGTTTAACAAGTATTTTGATATTGCTGCTATCTCCTTCATGTCGATCTCTGTGTTATAGGGTTTATCGAAATTAAGGTAGAAAAGGTACTATGGCTAAAATGAAGGAAGGTTTTCAAAAGGCCGATTCACCTAATCTGCCAACTGTGGACGTTATCTACTATTTTTTTGTTTATTTCGTTATCTACTATCGTATCAGAATGTTTGGTCCAGTGTCGACTTAAATCAGCTCCAGTCCATTGGTGTAGAAGTAAAACAGACGTTATTAGATATAGGTACAGTTGCATTTGAACAATGATATATAGTTATTTACCTGTAACAAGGGCGAAAAGTTATACTTTCCGCACGCAACGGCATTTGCACGAACGACGAGCCAGCGGAATTCGTGCAAGACGCAAGTGCGAAAAACATACTTCATGCTCGTGTCAGGCCCATTTTTTCTATGAGCGTGTGAAAAACGCGTCTTCACGCAACGATTTGCGTGCGGAAAGTAGCACACTTTCGCACCTTGTAGAAAAACACGCACGTAGATACCACTCTTTTCAACTCGGTTCAACTTTGTTTGAGTCTCTCATCATTACACAAACACAGATAATTGGAGTGAATGAAGCTTCTTGAGATAAAACAACAGTCAGCAGCACAATAAATCCAATGTAAACTTGTAAACAAATTCGTTTTTTTGTTTTCGATTTATCAGAAAAAATAAAGGGTTTCTAGATGTTTTAACGCTTAATACGTGTTTTGTGGACCTAAAACCACCACTTTTTATTACAATTAAAAAATAGTGAACATCGCTATTCTGTCTGTCAGGACGGCGATTCTCGAATCGTGTGATCCCTGTTCTCATAGGAAAAGTACGTGTGGTTTCTATTAAAATCTATTACGACGTATTCTCGAAATTAGGGACCGTTCACTTCCCATGAAAGTTGAGAGAATTTTATTCTACTACTTTTTTTGAAGAGAACGTCTGTTCTCGGGAGAACCAAACGTCAAACATGCGCTTTTTTTCAATTTTACAGTCACCATGGTATTAGAGACTTTTTGCACTTCTTATTTTGCCATTCCGCTGTGGTTATCGTTATACTGAGTATGCGCAATAACTAAAAAATGTTCGTTGTACTTATCAGCCACAACGAGCGGCGTTATTTAAGGAAGAATAACCTTGTGCTTATAGCTATACCCTCAGGCTATACCTATGGTTACGGTAAAACTGTATGGATGCCACATTGCAGAAAATTGAATAGATGTCATCCCGTTTTAATAAATAATTAATTAAAATCATCTGAAATTTGAAAAAATAGGTGTGGATTATCATTTTGATATTATGAAATTGGTTTACATCCGAAAGCGCAGGCGCATTTCATGGCCCAGAGGTAAAATGGACATAACGGAAATATGTGATTGTTTGGCGATGCAAAATCTCTGATTTTGAAGGTCGTGGTAATCGTTATCGCCGATCAAGTTAACCATAACTGATCCAAATACTGCTGTAATTTTAAGGGGTGCAAAAAATCTCTATTTTTTTGTTTGTTTTGCAAATCATTTATTATCAGTAATTGCCAATTTAGACTGTGAGATAGGGGCTGTTTAGTGGAGTCATTTTTTCTGTATGGCATTTTGAGGGCTGAATGTGCCTCCTAAGCTGATGAGAATATGGGTGATTTTAATGCCGGCCTCCCGTTCGAAAATTTGCAGAAGAAAAAAATTGATTTACATGAAGATTTTTTTTTTTATGATCTCAAATTTTCTAGTTTTTAAATAAAAGTTTGACATTGATAAATAATTCACCCATGAAAAATATCAGATGCTTTTCAATAGCTGAAAAAATGGGAATGGGTGTCAACATCCAAGAGAAAAGAAAAGAACCTTCCGCGTTTACTTTTTGTCTTGCAATCGAGAGAATGAAAGGTTTTGTTTTGAAAATAACGCTGGAAAATCGCCAGACGGTAATCACAGTTCGAAGTCGAGTTTTCCGGCGAAACATTCTGTGGACATTTCGAACAGGACGCAGGCATTAAAACCACTTATATTCTCATCAGCTAACTAGTCACATTCATCCCTCAAAATGCCAGACAAAAAAAAATGACTCCACTAAACAGGCCCTATCTCAGGTCTAATTGGGTACATTTGCATATTGCGTTGAAGTGGAAAATACGGTCTAATACGAAAACGTGGGAAACCATGGAAGCTGGGGTTATAGGAAGAATTCTTGTACTGAATGATCTACTAGATGCAGAAGAGCAAGAAGAAAGGCCTATAAGGAGATTTCACAGGAGATAAAATCCCTTTGATTTAACGGATAATAAATTTATGAAACTATTTAGATTAAGCACAGATCTGCTTGCTCGAAATTTGATTGATTTATTGACACCTTTCATACGGATTCCAACTAGAACTTCATCATTAAAAACTGTGGTAAAATCGGAGGTGAATTTTCCACTTTGAAGTTTCTCATTTTGCCTTACAAATTCAATGAGCATTTCTTTTTGAGTATGATTTATAGGTCAACATCTTGATTTTTCCAAATTAATTTTACACATAAACAAAACAACACAAAAATAAAAATTGTAAATAGAATGATTAATGATTTGATTTTCAGTAAATAAATAAGCAAAGAATTAGATTACGTCCCAAAACACAAATAAAACAAACCTCTCGTTTTTATTCTAATCGGACTTCACCGATGAGTTAGCTATATTTGTTTAGTGAATGGAAAATGATAATGATCGAGGTGGATCCATCGGTAAAATTTGATGAGAATAAAAACGCAGGGATACTGGTTTTCTTCTTTCTCATGACATTCGTCCTTTTAACGCACTAAAATTGTGGCTAATTCTACATATTACTGTTGGCAACAACGCATTATGATTTGACAAGTTTTTTCTCATTCTATCATAATCCCATACGTTCAAGAATACCAACTTTGGCACCAAGAGAACGAGCGTGCTATGTGATCTCTCACTTCTCTTAGGGGAACGTTCACTTCTACCAAATTCGAGAATCGACTACCTGGTGTCTTGACGGAGGTTAATAATTTTGCAAAAAAAAAGGTGAAATTGAGCAAGAAGGTAATAAGTTATATCGTCGTTGATACCCCAAAAGGTCGTATGTCATAAATTTTTCAATATCATGTTGTTGTTGGATACACCCTCAGAACAAACTACTTTATAGCACAGAAAAACATCTTATGTCTCTGGCCAATCAGAAACGCGTTATTTCAATATTGAAATTTGTCACGTCGTTAGCGTCGTGGAATTGGATATTACCAATTGGTCCTATGTCATTTATAAAAACAAGACCACAATGTTTCCATTTTCGGAGAAGTTCCTGGGATAAATTTATGATTTTTAAGTCAATTAAAGGTAAGATTAATATTGTCATTATATTTTTAAAATCAGTAATGCACATTGGTGAGGTTACTTTCATATTTTTTTAATTATTATAGCAGTTTTCCTTTTATTTGGATTTCTAACCTCAAAAATATTTGCTTAGTATTTTCCTGCTATAAATAATTTAATAGTAGCTGTTATCAGTATGTTTTGAATAGCAAAAATCTTCAAACAAAAGCAATGAGTATTTTGCTTAATGATTTTGAACCGTATTCCAAATGAAAATACGACATACGACCATTTTCGTATTAGTATTTTTAAAATTTGAATGACATAAGACTTTTTGGTCTTTGCCAGAATCAGAGTTTTTAGTCGCTTCTTTTGTGTTAATGATTGACAACCGTAATAAATAAGGCATTACCATGATAATCAAAGCAAGATTATGCATGCCAACACACAAGTGAATGGACTTTAGCAATCTTTACTCAAAATTTTGCTATAATGCCGAAAAAGTGTAAATTGAAGGTTTTCAATAATCTATGAGCGTGGATAACTTACCTCGCTGTGAAGATGTTTTTAATGTGTTGAGTGATATTGAAATACATACCTACTTAGTATTTATTTTTCCTAACTTTGGTATAATAGCACAGCTTATAATAGTGATCTACTTATCATGATTTCATTAACCGTTTTCGAGAGGAAAGTTGATGCTACAATTGGTTCTGAATGACACCAAATCAACAGGAGCCATAGCACACAATAGCTCGTCTAGATTTGAATCTAAAAGGAGCACACTTAGCTCAATTTGTAATCCAAGTGCTGTGCCAGTACAGTCTGAGAAAAAAGATGATAACTGTGATCCAGGAGGTTTAGAAAAACTCTTGACTGCAGACGATGGAAACCAAACCAAATATTATGCAACTTTAGCTCCTCTTTCTTTGGACGCTTTTGGTATAAATGATGCCAGTAATACCGGCAACGTTAATTCCAGCAAGTTTGACGTGCCCACCAATAGTAATCCAGAAGAAGCTATTCCAATAAATAACCAAGAAGACGCAGCAACCCCTTCAAAATTTTCCCACACCGATTATAATTCAAGCGACTCTCTCGATGAACCTTTTCAAGGAAGTGATAGAGATAGTGATTATTTACCTTCAGAAAATGAAGCAAACGTGACAAAATGGACAGACACGCTTGAGGCAAGCGACAAAAATGAAACAAGTGGTACAGACACGGGCGAAGAAGGAAACATAAATGAAGAAGTCGAAGTGCAAAATGAAGGAAGTAATTTGGAAGCTCAAAATATTGAGAAAGATATCACTGATGGTAGAAAAAGAAAGCGAAAAAGCAAAGGGCAAGGAGATCCTAAAACTTGGAAAAAACGAAAGGCTGCACGAGAGAGGTTGCAGGGTAAAGCGTACATTGGTTATCGAAAAGGCAGTGGTGGGAAATACCGACAAATATTACCTAAAGAAAAACGCCAGGTGAAACCGCCTTGTAAAGGTCATAATGATACAAAAAAAGGGCCTCAGCAAAAATTTGAATGTTTAACTGTTACCAATGAAGAGCGCAGACGCATTTTCAACTATTTTTGGCAACTGACATCATGGGATGCTAAACGAATGTATGTGTCTGGACTTGTGTCACATACTGTACCCAAACATAGAAGATCTCAAACGGAACCCTCAGAGTCGCGTAAAAAAATCGGCTTCAAATATTACCTTGCGATAAACAATACTAATGAAATCATAAGGAGACATGTCTGTAAATACATCTTTTTGGCAACCCTTGGATTAGGGGAGAAAACCGTAAGAGCTTGGGTTTTGAAGCAGAACGTGGAAGTAAACGATGCAGGATCACCAGAAGATCCACATCATCAACACAAAAGATCTGAACCTGGAATATCGGAATTTACTAATCATATTACTGAGTTCTTAAATGCTTTTCCAAAAGTAGAGTCCCATTACTGTCGAGCATCCAGCAGGAAATTATATTTAGAACCTCTCTGGAATAGCTACAGATATTTATATCGTGAATTCCTTATTCATTGCCAGCGTGAAAATAAAAGAAGTTGTTGTTGGCGAAGTTTTATGAAAGTGTTTAAATCCATGAATCTAGAAATTTATACTCCAAGAAAGGACCAATGTAATAAATGCATAATGTATAAGACAGACAACTTAGATAAGCCTGAATACGATTGTCATTTTGAGAGAAAAGAGCAGGCACGCAGTGAAAAAAATGAAGACAAGGAAAGTGCAAATAATGAAACCAAGTGCGTGTTTACAATGGACTTGCAAGCTTTTTTGCTATCTCCCTATACCCAGGCCTCTGCAATGTACTATAAGCAAAAATTGAAAGTTCATAATCTTACTTACTACAACCTGCATAATAAAGAAGTTTCCTGTTTCTTGTGGCATGAAGGAAATGGGGGGGAAAGTAACGTTTTTGTTTCTAATACTGTAAAATTTCTAAAGACTGAAATTGAAAAGTACCATCCCTCAATTATAATACTTTGGAGCGACGGATGCTCCTATCAAAATAGAAACGTTAATATGTCAAATGGTCTTTTGGAACTTGCTATTGGACAAAAGTATTTAGAAGTTGGCCATACGCAGATGGAAGTTGATTCTATCCATAGTGTTATCGAAAGAAAAATAGGAAGAAAGACAGAAATATCCGTTCCAGCTGATTACGTTAACGTAATAAAAAATGCCAGAGAAAAGCCAGCGCCCTACAAAGTTGTCTACTTATCACATAATGATTTTCTGAAATACAATAGTGGAATTTTTTCAAGCATTAGACTTGGCAATGTAAAAGGAGATCCTTGTGTTACCGACATTTGCTGCCTTCAATATCTACCAGAGGGAACTATTAATTACAAACTTAAATTTTCAGACCTGTGGACACAGTTACCTCGAAGACCATCAAAAAAAGCAAAGTTTCCAATGAGTCACGATTTGCTCTATTCTTCACCCCGATCAATTGAAGATACGAAGTTCGTTCATCTTCAAGAGTTAAAATCCATTATCAGTGCTGACTACCATGAATTTTATAATAATTTAAAACACAGCTCTAGAGATCAATGTAATCACATTAAAGTCTGAAAAATTTATATTCAGTCATAAATTATCGATCCACGATCCTGTGAAACTTTGTTTAATTTAAATTTTATTAAAGCCACATTTTTTTAGAGTTCATTATTACTTTAGTTTTTTTGTCTAGAAAAATAGTTTTTTAGCCTTAGGAAGTTTTATAACACCTTGAAGTGTCTTGAATAAACATGTTTATTTAAAACGATTTATTTTTATTTTAAATCTAAAAGTCGTATGTGGCTCCGGTGTGTCGCATAACGTAGTATACCAATACGTCTTATGTGTTAACAATTGATCCTATGTCATAAAATTGTGGCCAGAAAATAATTTCAATAGGTCGTATGTCACACAAAAACCTGAAATAATAATACAAATTTGACAAACAAATCGCAATGTTATAATGTTATACTACAGTATAACCTAATTCTATAAATAAAATTTCAGAGTCCAAATGTTTTCTTCAACCTATTAGTGCCAGTTTTTAATTTCTGCTCAACACTTCCAATATTTTTTCCTGCGTACTGAAATTTTAGGAATTGATGACATAGGACCTTTTGGAGTATCAACGACAATATACAGAGTTGATAACACTTCAGCTTTTAACACAGTACAATTTTATAGAATTTCAGAAGTCAGTGATCACCCAGCTGAATATAATCTCAGCCAAACTAATTGAGCAAGGGGAAATGCTAAATGTACTTCGTAAAGACAAAAATGCAACTATCAATACTAGAGTTCCCAATAATGTCAGTGTTGACAAGATTTTAACGTTGTTGCCACTAGCTAACTTAAACTCATTGAAAGGGGTAAAGGATCTCCTTAAAGATGGTGATGCTACCTTTGATGTACAGGTAGGAAAGTGTACATTTTAAGATTGATTTAAAATAATAAAGTGTTTCTTTGAAAGAATATATATGTATATTTTTTTTTATCTGAGACTCAAGAGCTCAGTAGACTAGGAGGAGGAGACGTTAAAACCCCAGTGAAAAAAATCATGTATAGAATTTTGTCTAACGGGTTGGGCCAATTGTTCAGCTGGGATGGCGCCAAGGGAAAGGAAGTTTTCAAAATCTTGAACATGGTTCAAGTAATTTTAAATAGGTATTTTATGTTTTATGTAGGTATATATTTCTCAGTGTGGCCATTTAAGTGTGCAACATGGGATTTAATTTACACAGTTTTTTTTTATCAACATTTGAAATAAAAATCTTATGTTTTGGTATTTAGGCATAAGTTTATCGAACATGCACCAACTTTCGAGAATATTTTTTGTATTTTGGTTGTGTAATATATACACGGTGGACCAAAAAAATGATCACATTTCCCAAATTCACAAATATGATCCAAAATTGAATTATGATATTGCACAAGGTTTGAAATTAAAGTTTTTTCAAAAGCTTCACAACATTTTTTTACAGTATAGAACTCTGGTTCTAAAGGTTTATATATACATATTTTCTCTATAAATAATCTTTCCATATATTTGTTTCAAAAAACATTTCCTCTCAAATTACCCAGTATATCACAATTTAGTTTCGCTGTTGGTTGAACCTGTTTTCAGAGGCCTCAAAAATAATTATAATTACAAAAAAATAAGATAAATATTTTGAAAAATACTCTTTTTTTGGCCCACTCTGTATTTAAAAATATAAATATAATGGTGAATAATTGACATGGGTCGAAGGGATATTAAAATAATAAGGTTTGTCACAAGGGATTTCTCTACAGCAATGTGTAGTTTTTAGCCAGGAGAGTAGGTATGTAATTTCAAATATTAACAATTTTTGAAAAATACTTTTTAAAGCCATACATTTCTGAACAGAATTCATTTTTTGTCAGGTTGTAGATGTAACCATAATATTATTACCCAGTTGATGTTTATCACCAAATAAGTCAAATATTGGGAAGGGCTATGAGCCAAATGAAATGTTTTGATAAAAAACAATGTTACGAAATTGAAACTTTTCATTCGATAGGTACATATTGTTCAAGCCAACCCTTGTTTAGTCCAATTTTTCATTATTGGTGTCCTGTATATTTTCTTAAGGCTCATCCTTCCCGACCTAGGGCACCCGGTTTTATCAGTGGTACGAAGGGGGAGGTAGATAATAGGCGTGTACCGAGTAGAGTACTTTCCTTGTTTATTTGCTCTATCACGCTCGCTACTTGCAGGGCCGTACCTTCTGAAACTACGAGAAGCCAGCAGAGCAATTCTAAAAGTGTTTTGATTTGGTTGTGTCGATTTCGCATTATTTTTTATTATTGTTCTTTTCACTGTGCTTTTTGCGTATTAATTAGTGAGTTAACGTATTGTTCCAAAGTTGGTACAATATGGATAAGAAGCAAGAGCCTTTTTATCGTAGAGGAAATAAAACTCTTCTACGATTAAGTACCAGGAGGAGAAAACGGACCAATTTTCCAAAAAAAAGGTAGGTGGTAGTAGACTATAGTAGATTATCAGACGGAAAGCAATAAACTTAAAGGATATACCTCAAAATATATTATTTTGGAGTAATGGTGGGTTTATACAGACACATAATATAACATAAGACATAACATAACCGTTACATAACACAAGATAAGATAAAAAGATGACCTTAAGGAAATCTCTTATGTCGTCTATACACAAATAACATCACAAAGTTGGTTAGCTTGTATGTCTTATTTTATGTGAAAATCCATCTGCGCATGTTCCATTAAGAATTTGACTTTCACATTACTCTTTTGTGTTCGAGTTTGATAGAGTAACAGAAAACACGTAATTATTGTCTTGTAGCTGATGATTGGTCGAAATTTATTTCTTATGTTATGAATGTGTCTGTATACGCTAAAAATCTTATTTCTTATACTGTTGAACTGTTGTGTCTTATGTTATGTTATGTGTCTGTACTTCTACGAAAAACTTATACTACCATATTTTAAAGAAATAATTCAAAGCTTAGAACATTTATCATATTTCGGGTTTTCCAGTGATAATGAACATCTACATAAATTTATCCTAATTAACAGTAAACATCCTACTTTAAGTTATTCTATTGCTTCAGGTAAATTGCGAAGTGAGTAGGTTCTAGGTAATAGTTTCTTAGGGGGACACCCAAAAAGGCCACATTTATCCTGAAAATATTTTCTGTGAATTCTAGTTTTTTTTTTCAATTTCTTTGGAATAATTCAAATGTGTTAAACAGGTACTTCAAGGTGGCCCTTTTAGGCTGTGTATTTCTAATCCAAATTTTAATTGTTGCCTTTTTGGTCGGGGAGACATAATTGAAGTGCCCCTTTTGGGCATCCCTGTTTCTCAGATAGATGACTATTGTTGCTTACCTGGAGCAATAAGTCTGATCAAAAACAGTTTATGTGTGACTTTATTTATTGGCCTGAAACTGCTGATTTGTATTTTTTTAATTCTTCTGGTTGGTAAAGCAGCGTTTTCCTAGCAACGCACATTTTACGCGGCGTAGAACGTAATTAGGTCGGCCTAAAACGCTGAGGACATGTCTAATGAAAATCAAATGGAAGCGTTTTCCTACACTGCGTAAAAACGACTTGCGCTAGCGTAAAACGGTCGACGCAACTGAACGACTGCTCGAAGAGCAGTCTATTCAGTTGTACGCTGCGTGTTGGCAAAAAAAATGCCCCTGTTGTATTATATTTATACACCTCAATGTTAGGCCAAGCTTTTCAGGTGAGTAAAGGTGCTGCAAGAGAACGGCGGCAAAATCACCCATTTTCCCATGTAAATCTCCATAAGAAAATCTAAGGTCCATTCTGCCACTTTTCGGACCGTTTTGGAGTGGGGGTAAAATTTCCTAGAATTAGGCCCCGCCCCCTTTCCAGCGCCCAGGTCTGCATTGTCCGTTCGCACTACCTCAACAGCCGCCGAGGCAGCCACACATACTCGCTACCTGATACTGATGATGCCGTAACTCTCGCTCTCTTGCTCTCATACCTCAACCTCGTACCTCATACCTCTCTCTCTCTCCCGCTCTCATATATAATAGGCCCACGCAGCTACAGCATCACGAAATAGAAATTAAAAAAAAGTTGGTAACCACTGAGAACCGATCTCCCGTCGCCAGCTTGAAAGCCCGCTGCAGCAACCACTAGGCTATTCTAGCAGTTGATAATAAATGGTGAAAAGGAGGAGACAACATGCAATCATGAGGAGCGGTCAGTTACCTCAGACATATTGGCACTTTGGGTGTCGCATACCTCATACTGATAATGGCGCAACTAATTCAAATTTCAGGTGTCTCATACCTCATACTGATAATGGCGTAACTAATTCAAATTGATGTGGGTGAAATAATTGTCGAGGAAATAAAAATTGTAAAATATTCAGCGAATCCATCGAGTGGACATAGACCGTGCATACCTTGATGCTCCATAAAAGGTACTGATGATGATGTACCTCTCGCTCATACCACATACCTGTCTCTCTCTCTCTCTCTCGCACAACAAACACAAATTATTTTTGTTATGGTTTTGTAGGAAACTGGGTTTTATTATCAGCTCAGTGCATACATCTAATAGACAACCATTGCCTTGGAAAAAATTGATTATAATATAAAAAGAGTGTTAAGTATCGAAAAAGATCCTAGTTATTTTTTATCAGAGGTTTCAATCAATTATTCCAAGAAATTCAGTAACATTAATACATGAGCACCTCACAATAAGTGATGTAATTATAAAATGCCTGAAAAAGCACAGATTACTTTAAAAGTTTAATTCAAAACTAGTTGACGAGTCTAAACAAGAGTTGCGGTTTTTTTTCTGATAACACAGATAGCCAATTATTTCAAAATAATTTCACTTACTTGTGTGATATCAACAAAAGGTACCAATCAATTATTCCAAGAAATTCAGCAGACAACAAGACCAAATTTTTTACACGTTCGCAAGAACAATTTGAAATAACTAGCGATGTAATTATAAAATATCTAAGAAACATAGATTAGTTTAAAAGTTTAATTTAAAAATGAACACTATACCAATCGAGTCATGCGGTTTTGCCGCCATCATTACACTGATAACTGACAAAATAATTTTACTTTATAATATAAAATATATTTCATGTAAACATCATCCAGCGTGCCAGCTACCGTCGCTATAACCCAACACCTTTCCAAAGCCTGAGTCTTCAGTCGATCACACTAGCTTGCACACAGCCTTTAAGGCGGGGTCAATGACCGCATCGGACATACAAACACACTGGCAATCCAGCACCCTCACGCTTCATCATTCTCATACATAATCATTTGGCTCCAATGCTCCAATAATCAAACTAATCAATAATAATCACAACAAATAAGAGACACGGCATTTCGATTCATAAACCAAAAAAGCAAATTATTGTTTAATTTGAAAAGGTTAGGTAAAGTTATGAGAGGCGTTATCTCTCTGGAGTCTAGTCCAACCTTGAAAAGATATTGATTATAATTTTATATCCAAAAAAAAAGATTCCAATTACTTATGTTATCTAAAAAAAAAGATCCTAGATCCTCAGAGAAAAAACTGAGGATTCAATCAAAATAATAACTATTCCATGAAATTTGGCAACAGGAAGACCTTGCGGTTTTGCAGCCATCATTTAACTGATAACTGACGAAATAATTTTAAATTATCCCTAAAACATTTTTCATAGAAGTGAAAACGTTCCTGTACCAAAATTTTTTGTAACAGAAGCCCCCAAAACGAAAAATCAAGTTTATTGCTGGATGGTATCATTTAACTTGCACCATTTTTCACTTATGAAATAATTGCATTGATGACTCACCGCCCACATCGTATCTTGAACAAAACCGCAAAGCTTTAAACTAAAAATGCATGTATTTAAATGGGAAAATGTGTTCAAATTGGGTAAAAACCGATAATTGCTACACTTTTACATTGATTCTTATGGAAAACGTCTTCAAGCACCTGATAGATTGGGGGGCCTTTCTCATCAGTTACACGAAAACCGTTCTGTCCTCCGTCCGTCCTACAGGTTAAAAGGGCTACGCTTAATCGGGATGCTCATTCGAGATTAGTGCGTCATAGAGATAACTAGGTGCTCTAATCATCCCGAATTTTTATCTGTGTTTCGTGGTT